AAGATTCTTTTTAATTTTGAAGTTCCGGTGAAGATATTTCTCAATAGGAAAGGAAAAACAAATTCTTGCTCGAAGCTCAAAACGAAAAGGAACTCGAGTTGATACATCAAGAAATTAGAAAACTGGATAGAATTACATGATATCTAAGTGTCTTTGAAGCTCAGACAATATTCAAGACTCTTATCTGACCCTCAAGGCAAGTAGCATATAATGTTTATGTACACACATAATATATGTCAGCATCCGATATAAGATCCGAGTTTGAATTAGTCCAAACTTGGATCGAATAGAAATCTGAAATCAATGTTGGATTCCGGATTTTTTTTAATGCAATGATGATACTTCTTTTGCGCATAGTCGGTTGAACATGAAAATTTGATTTAAACGTCTATAACAAAATTTTCTGTTGAACTTTTATTTACATAGAAAATTTATTCAATCTAGCACCGATTTTTCAACCAGATTTTATAAAAGAAAATACTATTAATTTGTTGTAATTCATGAATAAAAAGTTCTGAATCCAACAATAATTTCAAAGTTAAAACTGAGTTTTGATATCAAATTTTTCTTCGATTCATGTTTAAAAACCAGGATCTTAGATTGGACGCTGACAGCTAATATTTATTACGTTCAATTTACTGAATAAGGATCATCGAATTAACCAAAAAAACAACTCTATCACAACGACGAACTATAAAACCTACCTATTATTAATGCAGATAGATTACTTCGATTATTTGTTTCTTCTTTTTTTTTCTTAATGATGAACTTGTTAAATTTATAGTTTGACTGTAAAATTGTATTTTGTTTTGTTCTTTTTATTTACCATTGTAAATGTTTTCCATCTCTTATTTGTGCACATTATGTGAAATGAGATGTATTTTTTGTTATTGTTGTACTTATCTTTTACTTTTTCGTATACTACACTAAAGGCTTATATTAAATATAAAATAGTAACGATAGAAGGTAATCATGTTGACTTATAAATTAATTACGTCTGAAGTACGAGGATTAAGTAAGAATTCAAGAATACAAGGATCTTACTGATGTGGTAGATCTTGTCAGAAAATCAAGAATGTGGAAAGAATAATGACAAGAACGTTGACTAATGAAGAAATTAAACGAAAAAATCTTGTTTTCGGAAAGAATCAAAATTCACAAGTTAAACAATTCATCTAATTCTAATGTCTCATGAATATAAACGTTTATTTTATCAAAGGAAATTAGAATATTTTAAACAAATTAATTATCAAATAGAATTTCCTTCAAATCTACAAATAATTTTATTTTTGGAATGAGAATAATCCATTATAATAAAGTCTTAAAGTTTCACTAAAATATTACAATATTCAATTCATTTGCATATATTCTTATTCTCTACTTTTATTCATTTTTCTTCTTTCTCCAATACATCACACTAATGTTCGGATTATAACTAAAGAGGGACGAGTGTAAGGTCAATAGCTAGACAATGGCAGCAGTTAGCGACCTATGATTTTCAGTAATCGAAATAGAAAATTTATCAAAGTTTCATTGAAACGTCACATCGTTTTCATGTATATTTTATAAAATGTTTTCCGAAAAGCTTCTCTTCCGACTACTGAAAACCGTAGATCGCTAATTGTTACCGTTGTCAAGTTACTCAGCTTATACCCAATCCTCTTCAATTCTGGTACGGACATTAGTTCGCTTGTATACAGAATTTTTTTCAAATAAAATTTGTGACTATTTCAAGCACCTGCAAAAATAATTAAAATCTGAATAAAAATCTTACATGAATCTTTGCAACAGATCCAATATCTTCTGTTCGAATACGAAATCGTTCGTGTGCGCCCATTTCAAATAAATTTCGTAATGGGAAATCATTACTATCTGGTACCCAATTAGAATGAGTTAATTGATATTCACCAGTACTTTCATCTTTTGCATTAAATAAACGAATATAAATATTACTGTCCGTTCCAGCGAAGCGTTCATTGCCTGTATGTACATAAATATTCCAAACTTAAAAGAAAAAGACAAATTCAGCCTTTGATAAAGACCTGTTCCTTCGGCCAAAAAAAAAACAATTTATCTAAAAACTAGACACTTTTTGAGGTAAACGTATAGGCATAATTTCAAGATGTATAGTTCGAAAGTCTCAAAATTGGGTTTTATATAAATTGTCGAATTTCGATTCATTGTAGTCAACTGCGATTGTTTTATTTCATAGATAAATACATTCTCTTTCGGATGAGGGAAATGAATTTAGTATTTGACCCTTAATATCAAAGCAATCATGGATTCTCTAGAAAAACATTGCCTAAGATTTTGAGAGCATCAAAAATGAAATTAAAAAAATCATTCTCTTATTCAAAGCGGTAAAGAATTCTCTTTGAAGTAAGAATAGCCCGAACCCTATAGCTTGAAGTCTATCGAAAAAAAAAGTCTTTGTACGCATGAAAATCCTATTTTGCACTATGGCTTTTGAGTGGTAAGATGTTTGCAGTTGTGAAAAGCTTTTTTTTTACTAATGCACTTTCATTAATCGGACATCTTCAGAACATAGGTTTTGGAGGAAGGATGAGGCATAAAACAAAACAAATAATTACCTTCTGCAAGACAATATGAAATAATAACAGGAAATAATATTAAAATCTGCGTCATGATAAATAAAAATGCTGAAATATTTTCATCTAAAAGTGAATTATAAGAATATTTATCAACTAGAATGTGGCATAGTGAAAAAATTTTAAATAAATTGTCTATTACATATCAAAGATGACGATGAGAGAAACAATGCACATATAACTTAAACTGCATACATTACTCTTCATAAATCTTCCTATAACTTTAAGAGAACAATCTCAAATATAGATAAAAAAAAAAGATCGTTGTATAGTTGACTGATTTTCCTTTTATGAATATGATGACTGTTCACACACACAGACCCGAAAATCATACAAAGATTGTCATAAGAAAAGAAAAAAAATAGAAAGATGAGAGAACCATTCAATATAACAAGAAAGAACAAAAAAAAATAACATTAACAGTGAGAACAAACGATTTAGCTTTCTATTTATGGTGAATACCATTTCGATTTTCGTAAATCACTTCGACACATTGGACATTTAGTACTTTTCTAAAATGAATAAAAATTATAATTTTAAAACAAAACAAAACAAAAAACGAATAAATATTTCGCAAACCTTAAGCCATTTATCAATACATCTTGTATGAAATCTGTGTAAACAAGGAATAGTTCGTACTTTATCGTTAGCCTTATATTCGTTAAGACAAATATCACATACAACACCAACTACTGATATTTCTTCAGCAGTTGTCATTGGATAACATTCAATTAGATTTCTAGATAAACCTGAACTAAGTAAATCATCATCATCATCATCATCTTGATCTAATAAGCGACCATTAGATTGTTCAGTATAAAAATCACCTTCATCATCAGTTTCCCAACTAGACAAAAAAAAATTCAACAAATCTAGAAAAAAAAACGAAAAATTCATCGAATTATATACCTATCACTTTGATCAGCTACGGCAACGTCAATTTCTTGAATTGCTTCAGATGTTGGTACTTGATCTATAATAAAATAAAATAAGATATTTTACAATGATTTACAATTGAATACCTTCTGACTCAAATTGATTCGTTGTAATAGAATTGTTACTATTGGTTTGTTGATTTGTAGATGTTGAAATTTCTTGATTATTTTGTTTATTTGAAGACATTATATCTAAAAGAAGAAAAAAAACTAATCTTGACATTGAAAAAAAAAATCTTTATTATGGGAGGCATTCGATTTATAGATGAAAATTTGAAAACGAAATGAAACGAAAACAAAAATTTCGCCAGAATGTTTGGATAACCAATTAATCATGTAAATATGTTTGAAAATTTCCACAGTACATGAGTCAGATATGCAAAATTATAAATGGACTATTATTTCGTTCTTTCTTTCTTTCTTTTCATTTGAATTATCATCCGATCCTATAGATAGACAACATTCGATAGATGTCAATAATATTCAGTATTTATATAATTTTAGATTTTTAAGTATTAATCGAAATAAATAATAGTACCTTTCACTTGCTTGTTATACAAACTTAGAACAACGAAAAAAGAGATACGTTGTCACATTGAAAACGTACTCAGTGTAGTCCCCTTGAAGCTGAAGTGTGACATTCAAATGTGTTCTTCCGGTTCATTATACTTATATAAAATACGTCAAGTGCAAAATCGTTAACAGACAGTAGGTTTTTTTCAACAATAATCAATTGATCGAAAAACGATCTGTCTTGTTTATTTTTGCTTTTCAAACAGAAATTTTCGTCTTTGCTTTGTTGCCATGCGTTTGTTATTTTTAGTTTTCATATTCTCTTTTTTCTTAATTTCACATTATTATTATTGTAACTATTGATTTAACTGGTAAATAAGCTTGCTATATGAATCCATTATAACTATAGCAGTTCTCAACACACTATTATATTTGTTGATAAGCTCACAAATACTAATATTTTCCACAGTAATTATACTTGATCAGTTCATATGTTTTTTGTTAATCATATGAAGGTTGTGGTAGATGAATCATCCTTAATATTTTTATATACGCAAAAATCATAAACTGCACTATTTCGAACATTCACAAAGGTACGTTCTTTTTGTTGTTAAGTAACTCTGAGATCAGAGTCTAACGCTTGTTGTCATCAATTAAATGTATCCAATAATCGTCGCCCCTTTACCCATTGCTATTAATGCAATATAACCCCAAAACCTCGACTTAAAACCGTATAGAAAACTAATGATGATGTATACGAAGTGTCTATTATCTTTTTTTTTTAATTTTGTTTTGTAAACAAAAAAAAACAAAAGCATATCTATAATAAAGTTACAATACAACAAGAGGAGGAAAGGCAAATGAATAATATGTTGTTTATTTTCTATTTCTTTTTTTGACTATTTTACAAGTCTACATTTATTGCTTAGTTCCTATTGAAGATTCAATGATTGCTTGCAAGATAATTTCTAAATAAATATAATAAATCAATAAAAATATGATAACATAAGATTAAATACCTGGCTTTTTTATCTCGACATCGTTGAGCACGTGCTTGACCAAGAATCGATTGATGTGCTTCTCTAGACCAAAATGTTTCAAATCGTTCGGGTTCATCAGGAAAATATCGATCAGCTACAGCTTCTAAATAATCATAATAATTTTTCTCTAGAATAACAAATCTGTTTCAAATATTACCTTTAATTCTATCAAGTCGTTCATCAGGATTAATACCAGCAACAATTTCATTTGTTGAATAAACTTTACGTATAAGTCGACATAAAAATTCTGTTGGTCTTTGTGAAACAATATCTGTACCATTATGTATTCGTTTATTTCTATTCGATGTTGATTTTGATGATACATTTGATGACGAACGTGTATAAGGTAATTCCATGTTTGATGTATCATCAAAGTCATTTATATCTGTATTCTATATCAATGATATAATCATTATTAAAATCTTCTTTTTCTTAAAGGACTACTCCTCTCGTCAAAAAATGTCAATTTTCATTAAAAAAAAATGAAAACTAAGATAAATAGATCGATGCCTGATCTTTCATAAATGACACGATTCTTTTCTTCAGCGCTTTTGTTTTTGCCAAAACTCGAAAAATATACTGTTTTCAGAAAAAAAAACGGGAAATATTGGTGAAACACGGTTTAAAAGAATTGTTGAAGTATAGGAATAGAAATTTCGACTCACTTCTCCTCACAGACATCTTAACAACGTCTCCACTTTATTATAGACTGACAGAGACACAACCATAAAAACCTCATAGGTCATGTGTCAATAACATCTCGTTAAACCATTTCCTTATTGCACTTCTCGATGATTCAATATAAGGATACTGAAGAAATGTGTCTCAAAATAGATGGAATAAAACAATCTCTTTGTGATTATCCACAGCAACTATAGCATGTTTCACAATTTAGTCTTGCAGAAATTGTGCTAACAGTTTTTTTTGTTCTTTCTTTTAATATATTTTTTTCATCGAGCATTCCAGAATTCTGGACGAAGCATTATTGTAGCCCATGGCTTTTTTCTTTTGTTTGACAGAGCATGAGACAGATCCTTGTTTTTTTTTAATTTAAGCATTGTTACTATGTTGTGAAAAAGTACTTTAATCATCGAGCGCCATTTTTTCACACATTGAACTTTTCTCTTCAAGAGTAAGAATTTAGAAAAAAAGGACTGTGTCATTTACCGCATCTTGGTATGCTTGTTCAAACAAAAACTAATTTAAGTGTATAGAGTAAAGTCCCACAGAAAGTTTTACGTTGCTAAATGAGCTATTTTAGACTCTTGTTTGTTCCATATCTCCCCAAAAACGTCATGATATCGGGCTGACAATTTCATGCGATTTGTATGTATCTATTCCAAGATCGGATTTTTGAGAGGTATTGGCCTTAATATTGATATATTTACTTGTGTTTGATTGTTAACTAATTGTGTTACCATTTTTGTTAATGTATGAATACTTGAACGTAATCCATTACATGTACGTGTTAGTTCATCAAGACGCATATCCATATGATATATAATATCAGCTAATTCACCATTATCATTACCAAATTTTGTATTTTTAACATATTCGCTAGCAGAATCAACTGAATCAAATTTACGTTTACGTAATATTTGTTGTGATTGTTCATCTTGTGAAACTAAAAATGTTTTCAAAAAATGAAGAATTGAGAAAATTAAAGTTTCTTTTTACCTGTTTGATGAGGAATTGGTGTAAAAACACATCGATTCAGTGACGAATGATCAATATGTGCATATAGATGTAAATCAAAACTAGGACATGGTGCTATAAAAATGAATTATTCTGAATAAATGAATTAATTTGATTGGATAAATACTTACGTTCATCATAATCATGATCTTCTTGCATTGCTGTTAGAGATATAGATGGTATTATTCGTGATCGTGTAGCTTTTACAGCTTTAAGAGAACGAGAGACATGATTATTCTTATCTTGATTAATTAATCTTGATATTGATGAATCTAAAATAGAAAAATAAGTTAAATAAAAGAATTATTTTTCTTTTGCCTTCATATTGTTTATCAGTAGAATAAATCATCTGAAAAAAAATACATAATGTAGAAATCCATTTTTTTCTTTTTTTTTTTTTAAATATTTCAATAAAATAATACTACAACGAATTGTTCATTGATTTTATTCATGGATATACGTTTTTGTGCTTATATAAATGTAGTCTCCTTTTGTTTGTACAACAACGAAAAAAAACTATGAATGCTTCATTGTATGACATTTAAGATTGGATAAAGGAAAAAAATATACTCCGCAAATTTTCATACTAAATAGATTCCATTATAAATAGTTATACACACACACACAAATATATATATATATATCAAAAGTTTATAATAAATGAAATGAAGAATCTAACAGGTATCACGATTTACGTTGAGGTGCTTGTCCTCTTCGATGATAATTATTATTATTATTATTATTATTATTATTATTATTATTATTATTATTGTTATTATGAGCAGTGCTATTGTTGTTATTATTATTATTATTTCGATTGCTAAAAACTCGATTATTGTTTGCTGGTCGTCTCATATTGTTGATGCTTCTATGGTGACGTTGATTTGTTGACGATGATACATGAATTGGTGGTTCTCGACAGATGGGACAAACATTATTTTCCTAAAAATATGCAAATACAATAAATATATAAAAAAAAACAAACAAATTAAAAATCTTTACTTGTAACCAACGATCAGCACATTCTTTATGATATATATGATTACACGGAAATCGACGTACTGTTTGTTGATTTTCAAAAAGTTCAAGACATACACCACATTTATTTTCTTCATCAGTATTATTTGAATTAGGAATAAATTTTTCTTGTCGAATACTATTAATTTGATGTTCAGTTAATTTTTTTTTATGTATTGTATCATCAAGTTGAAGTAATCGCTAGAAAAATAAAGATTATATTTATAATTGAATGTTTCTTTCTTTTTGTTTTTAAATTACTTCATAATCTTCTGGACCAAAATCTTCTTCAATTTCTTGAAGATTTCCTGTACGACGATGACCACGTGCTCGAAAACCAGGAAATATTGAAGCTAAATTTCCTGGTAAAGGTCGACCTTGATTAGCAAATAATTGAAAAAATGGATAAGTCATTGCCCTATAAGGATTATCTTCATCACTATCATCATCAGTATTTGAAGAACGTCGTTGAGGAAATCTGAAAAATGGTTGAATAGGTGGAGTGTTAGATTCAGTAGTTGCTGAAGTTTCTGATAATTCAGGATTTGCTTGTTGTCGAAATTGAATATGTGGTGGTATTAATCGATTATTATATTGTTGACTAGGCCGTCTTTCTTGTTCTTGTAAATATGCTGCATATTGTTCATCATTTTCAAAATGTGGTTCAGTAGTATTGAAGAAAGGATGTAAAGTTTCAATAGATGATTCATCATCTTCCTGTACTTGAAATGGAAAAAATGAGCGTGGACTTGGTCTGAAACTATCTTTTTCATATTCTTCTTGTTGAAGTTGAAGAGCAAATTGTGCATCAGCATCAATCTCTCCTAATCGACCTAAATCAAAACCAGCTGCTTCTGATATTGAATTATTATTATTAGTGTTGATTAAAGTTCCATTAAAAATTTGTTCACTTTGTTCTAAAGAAGAATTTTTATCATCATCATTGTCAGCTGGTCGAATTATTGATTTCATCAATGGCTAAAATTTACAAAAAAAAAAAAGAGAAATTAACATTATTTATTAGTACATGGGCGAAATAATTTTTTATTCGAATTTTTAGTTTCTTACAGCTATTTGGTTCAATTCTTGTGGTTTGAATATACGTTGGAGTTCACTTAAAACATGTGTTATAGATGATGATGGCAAACGTTCTTGCGTCTTTCTATCTGCCATTATTTTATTTGAGGCGTTTAATATGAAATTTTTTTTTTTACCAGTTACTCATAGGAACGAAGATAGATTTCTCATTGCAAAAAAAAAAAACAAAAATGTAAGAATAAGTTTTCGTGCTTTTTTTTCGTTCTGTTACTTATATGTTTTTAACTACGATGAATAAAAAAAAAACAGTTTATCTTACATATTACAAAGAAGAAAGAAAAGAAAAAAACCTCTTCGATAACAAAAAAAAAATAAAATAAAATAGGAAGAGAATATTCATCATACTTTATGAGTAGAATAATTTTGATTTGAAGAATTATTATATCGTGCTTGTACACGATCAGGTTCAGTTGATCGAATAATTGATTGACGAGGTTCAACATCAATATCCATCGGTTCACTACTTAATGTTGAAGGCAAATTGAATTCGGATGTTGTTGATGGAATCTTAAAAAAAAACAATCAATATTAATAAATCGATATATGAAATAATTCTTCTATACATCGTTACTATCACGAAGTGTATTCGGCCATGGAATTGATGATAAATCTTTTTGCATCATTGAAAGCAAAAATATAGCCTATTTACAGATATAATCTATAAAGAATAAGAAGAATGCAAGAAAAAAAGAAAGAGAATCTTAATTGTTCTTCGTTTTTTTTTTTTTTTTGTTTTTACAAGTTAAATTTCTTTTCTCGATTGTTTAATATGTTTGTTGGATAATACATCCATGAATAAGAGACAAAAAAAAAAGAACAGAAAAGAAAATTTTCAAATAAGTCAATATATCAATTAAGTACTTTCGGACGATCATGATAAGGGCTTGATTGTTGTGTACGTTGAATATATGTTTTACTTAATGATATTTGTCGTTCTAATTCTCTTAATTGTTTTTCAGCTAACATACGTTTTTCTGTTTCATCTTGTAATTTTAATAACATATTATTAGCATCAAATTTTTCTGGTGAACCATGAAATATAACCATACCTAAAATAAAAGATTTCTTTCATTTTTTTGATCTAAATAAAAATAGATAAATAAATTCTATTTTACCATCTTTTTTATTAATTGATGCAAATATTTGTCCATTTTCAATCATATCAATTAAATATTTTTCAGCTTCATTTGTTGATTGAAGTTGTAGACGATTAGCAAGATCTTTTAATGAGACAGTTAAAAATGTTTTTGTTAATTGTTGTATACTATTACATATAAATGCATTTCGTGTTTGTTTTATTAAACCTAAATTTCTATCACGTGCATATTGTTCTCGATGATGATTAACAAATTCATCAAATTGTATTAATGTACCATTATTAAATATATTAAATAATTCTGTATATTGTGCACCACATAAACTTTTTACTGCTTGTTGAACTGTTCGACTTGTATATGTTGGTAATTGAGTATTTGATATTGAACCAGATATTAATTTAACTAGAACATATTTTTTATAAGCTTCTATAACAATAGCTGATGTTGCTGTAGCTGGTACAGTAATAACATTCTCAAAAAAATTTGCAGCACGATCAAATTGTTTTATACAAGCATAAATCATTCCACCATAATAATATGCAAGTAAAAGATGTTTAACATCAAATTTTCCATTTTCACGATTAATATCAATTATATCAATATCAAGATAGGTTAATGCTGGTTCAAACCATTGACAAAGAAGACAAAGTTGATAGAGATCAGAATGTATAGAAAGTAATTGACCAAGTTCACGACGAAGTAATTCAATAGCTCGATAAAGAATTGGTATTCCTATTTATAGTATAAAGAATAGGTTTTTTTATTTGATAAGAATTTTTTTTTCATGTTTATTCATTCATAAAAATAAACATACTTCATAATTTATATAAAAAGAAACTATGTGTATTATCATTTTCGTCTGTTTGATAACTTTATTATCTCCTATTTGATCAATCTAATATAAGATTTGTTGATTTAATATGATGAAAAAGAAAGATTATGTAATACTTTCTTTGTATTATTTTCTACGAAAAATTAATGCAAAAAAAAAATGATACTAGTTCATAACAAGAACTCAGTAAGATTGAATTTAAAGGAGAAAGAAAATGAGTAATGCTTCTACATAGATCAAATTTCTTCCATGAATAATTTATATACTACTGAACTAAATCGAAATTAGTCCATATAATATGAAGTTAACTTTAGAAATTCATGATCAAGTTTATTTTTGTTCAATACACTTTAACAATATATTGAAGAAGATTAATTTGTTCTTATTTACATAGTTTATCAAGTTATTCAAGACATTTTTTATTGATAGAATAGATTATCAAGTAAATCTATTTTATCTTTCAAGTTTAAATAAATGTCAGATAACAAAAACGTAAAAATAATAATACGAAAAGAATAACAAAATATCAATCAATAATAACATCCAAACAATATGTGAAGGCCATCTTCTGTACACTAGTAATACATCACTTACAAAGTTCGTTTCTTTTTCAGTAAATGACATATAATACTTCACAAAGAAAAAGCATACGCTAGTATTTTATATTCGTTACGCCATATTTGATAGTAAAATTTGCTTCTTTTATTGTTGATTTTCATTCTTATTCATCATAGACTCGTTTCCTCGATATTTATAACTTTATTCATTATAGTTGACAACCGAAAAGCTTAAGTTTTCTATCATTAAAAATTTTTTAATATCAAAGTTGTCGATCACATAAAGCAAAATAACAATTTTTTTTTATGATTAGACTTATTTCAATAAACTTACCAACTCGAGCTCGATTTTCTTTTCGAAGTCGTTCTGTAATAGCATGACATATTTCACATAGATATTGCGGTAAATAATGAACTTGTTCAGCTGAACATGTTTGAATAAATGTATCAACTTGTGTAAGAAATAAATCAAAATCAGGTATATTTGGTGCTTTTGTAATTGCATGTAAACCAGCTAACATACACTTAAAAACAAAAAAAAAACAAAAGAAAATAAATACAATGAATTGGTTTTTGTTTTTTTGAAAGTTTAATTTTACCATTGAATGTTCAGGTAAAGTAAAAGTAGCAATAATTGAATCAATATGTTGAATATTTTTACTAAGATGATCAATATTTGGATTTGTTAATGTTTGTGCTAAATCGCTAAATTTACCATCTATTGATAATTGTCGAATATTTCCAACAAACTGATCTAAGGATGTCATTGTTTCTGTTTTAATTTATCTAAGATAGCTATATATATATATATTGAGATACCAAAGACAAATAAATAAATAAATGTTTAGATTTTTTTTTCTTTTAAAATTATTTTACAAAAAAAATAACAAAATTTATTTAAATTTTCAAGTAATGATGAAGATTCGAAATAAATTTTATCTTATGCAATATGAAATTATTAGAAATATTAATAAGATAGGAAAATATAGAATAAAGTACATTTTTCATCCGTAGAAAACAAAAACATTCAGTTGAATACGATTGGTAGTCATATCTAGTCAGAATAATAAGTATATGAAAAATAGCAGATGGCGTTCATTAACAATCTTTAGGAAATATAATATTGAATTGAATGGAAATGCGTTTATTCGATTCTATTAAAAATTTAAAAAAAAGAAATAAGATAAAAAAAAAACAGACGGCGCTGAAATATATTCAAACACAAAATACAATTCATCTCTTATCTTAAGAAAAAAAAGCAAGATGCAATACTAATTATCATCATTCAGTATTTACCGTGGAATTGCTCATTGACTTAAATAAGTTAAAACAGATACAAAAGAAGAGAATAACAGTTTAGAAATTATAATCAAGTCGGCCATCTATTTGTTGTAAACAGAAATGCCAATTGTGAATGTGTAATCAAATGACGCAAATGTTTAATATAATTTAAATATAGTTGTTTTTATAGGTTCAACAGTTTTCAATAGTTCTTTATTTACAATTTTATAAGAATATTTGGGTGGTATGATAAATTTAATAATAAAATGAGATTTTTTACTTTTAACAAATAATTTCGAGATTATTGAGTGATGTCTGCCTATGATTTATTTTACATCTGTTTAAATAAAGTTTTCTACTAAAACAAGCTGTTATTCATTTATTATAATTTTTTTCGGCTAATTTTCGTAGCATTCGTTGGTCTCTCGTCCAATTTTGTATAAATAGCTGGTTCAGAAAAGAACATTTAGAGAGAAAATAATGAAGAATATCTTTTTTCTGTAACAGTCTGAGTCGAATCGAATCCAAAACGAAGATTTTCTTATTCGTTATGGTCTCTGTTAACATTTGCATGACATATACATATGATTCATCCAAAAATTAAGAGAGATACCATGAGGTCATCGAATATATGAGGCACTGGATAAAAATTTTTTTTTCTTATACATTCAGAGCATCGTTACTTGAAACCACTATCCACAAATTTCTAACTACCAATACTTTTTCTTTGAAAAACTAATAATTATCGATCTTTTACTACTTTCATATTCTTATGAGACAAAACAGCCGAAAGTACTCAATTAAAGGTTGCGCTAATTTTCTTCTCAATGCATCATTCAAATTTTTTATGAGATGCACAAATTAAAAATCGAAGGTAATGATCTATTTTGGTCGACTGGAATTTTATAAGATCAACATGAATGAAAAATGGTTCTTTCGATGAGTCTACAATGTCCATTTGATAGCAATCTATCTCCTATCGAACTTCAGAATCAAAGAATTTCAAGCCAAATTTCATATATATCCATGCAACTTTTTATTCTCTATATAATCGTAAAAAAAATGGTAGGTTTGGAGTGAAAGGGGGCTCACATTTGTCTCTTATATAGTTTTTTTTTTGATGGTTTTCAGTAGAAAAACAAGACATTTCTAGCGATTTTCATTGCCATAAAGCAATTATCAAGCAAACTGAATACGATATTCACAATCATTATCAAATACATATTAGAGAATATCCTTTTCCTGCGAAAAACTGATCTTATATAGGGCGAAATTTAAAAGAAAATAAAGTTGTGAGAGAACACAGATGAATCTTTCGTAGAAAAATACTTTTTCTGAAATGTATTTGATAATGGTTGTAAATATCGTATCTATTTTGCTTTGCAATTGTGTTATGACAATGAAAACTATTAAAAATCTTTTGTTTTCCTACTGAAAACCATCGAAAAACAACATATAGGAAACGGATGTGAACTTCGTTTTGACCTCGAATCTACCATTTACTTTTGAAAATCTTTTTACAATTTTGTAGAGAGTAAAAAGTTACATAATATATATAAAATTTAGCTTGAAATTCTTTGATTCGGAATACCGATAGAAGATAGGTTGTCATAAAATGGACATTTTAGATTACATCGAAAGAACCATTTTTTTTAAAAATTTATGTTGATCTTATAGAGGTTGAGTAGTTCGACAGTATATAATATCAGAATAGATCGTTGTGTTCGGTTTTCAATTGGTATGTCTTATAAAGAATTTGAATGATTCATTAAGAAGAAAATAAACGTAATCTTTATTGAATGAGTAATTTCGGCTGTTGTTTTTGTCTCATAAGAACATGAAAGTAGTAAAAGGTCGATAATGACTAATTTTTCAAAGAAAAGCTATTGAAAGCTAAAATTTTGTAGTTTCAGACGTCGATGCGTTGAATACATGAGAGAATTTTTTTTATCGAGTACTTCATGTATTGTGACATGATATTCAATGGTCTCATAATTTCTATATTGAGTTTTTCTTTTAAGATGATCTGCCTATGTTTTTTTATTCATATATAGTTTTATTACAAATAAACAGTTAAGAAAAATTAATTGTCAGACATAGAACATGTCTCATCAAGAATTTTTAGCAATGGTTGAAGATCAATTAAAAGATCACGTCGTTGTTGTGGTCCAAATAGTATAGGAATATTCATATCAGTAACTAATGGAATAAATGGAGTTTGTTTAGCATTATATACAGCTCTAGTCAATTGCGCTTTATGTTCTTCTAATTTTTTATGTTGATCTTCTAAACAATGTTGTTCATGTTCAAGTTCTTTAATTGTTTGAAGAAGATCTGATTCAATTTGATCTCTAGTTCTTTTTAAATGACGAGCAGCTAATCGATTTTTTTCACGTCGTAATTCACGTTTAATCGCATCTTCACCATACAATTGTTGCTCTCTTGATCGACGACCTGTAGACAATGTTTGTGATTTACTTTGTCGATGACGAACACGAATTGGCCCATAATCAACAACATAAGATGCTGTATGTGAATTAGAATTTTTATTGTTACTGTTTACTTCTGATTTATCGTTCTAAAAGTAACAGATTAATATAATTATATTAAAAAAGAAAAAATTAAATTTTTTTGTCTTAAAAACCTGTTCAGATTTAATCGTAGAAACGTTTTCATCTAACATTTTTGTTTGAATAGTTTGTTTTAATATCATTTAATGATAATAATCGAAAACAAAATAAACCGTCTGTATTTGTTTATTATATAAAGCGTTGTCAATGGTAGTTTGTTTGTATCTCATGCGCAGTATATATATATATATATATAGGTAGTAAATAATACGGTAACAAAAAGAAAGAAAATAATAATAATTTAGATGTTTGACCTGTTAAATGTGACACTGATCTAGAATATTTGTGGATAATGAGTCTTGTATATATATAGCTTGACATTGTATCACTGTCAATGTATTGAACAAAACCTTGAAAAAAAAAGAAAAACGAAACGGATGAGATGGCATAACAAAAAACTTTTATCCAACTATATATATTGTCTATCCAATAAGCACTTGATTTATTTAAAAAAGTGATATTTGTCGTATGGTTCATTGATTGATGTGTCCTTCATATGATAAATAAAAGCGAAATCCTTTATTTTATCACATATTAAGCATGTGCTTACGTAGACGAGCAATCAAACTGTCACTTCTTTGGTAACACAATATTCATTGAGTATTGACATTAATAAATATTAAGATTTTATTTCCTGGTAATTACTTTTTCTACTATAATTGGAGATAATATATCATATTTCTAATAACATGGATTAAAAAAGAGAAAGAATGTAGTAAACAGGCGTGACACAACAGGTTATGCATATGGGAAGTCGATGATGGTCTAATTAGGTGAAAATGACCGTTACAAGACTAATTACGTCATTTGATGATGAATACGAAGATGTATGGTTAAAAAAATGTCTGCGTATTAATACAAGTTAAGTGACAGTGACCTATGAGATATCAATCAAATCTATTGTTTATAATAATAACTATCAAACAACAAAATGAACTAGAGGGCGATTATATTATATTAAAAGAAAGAACTTTTATAATTATATTTTTATTTGAATTGGATTATAGAATGATGTTATTGTTGTTTGTAAGAAATTACTATCTAGAAATTTGTTTTTATTTTGTGCTTTGATCGACAAGTAACTTTGTGACAGGGCTTTGAGTGTATTCGTATTAATCACCGTCGATCAATCTGTTTTTGTTTTATATGATAGACAGTATTGTCAAGATTTGTTTTTTCCGATTTCTAAACATTATTATACGAATATTTCGTTTTTATGATTTGTTTACAAATAAAAAGGTGGTTACGATTAGACAACTTGATAACAAGATAAACAAGCCTTGACGAATCAGAAAGTTTATTTGTCTACATCAATGAATTATTAGCTTCAAAAAAAAATGTTATGAAAAAGATTTTTTGTCATTAAATGAATATTTAAGTCGAATTACAATAATATCTTTTGCTAGTATATTATGAGGTATTGCACCTGAGTCACAACCAGTATTGTTCAACCAATCTTACTGATTCGACTAATATTTTCATAGTAGACAGAGCTTGTAAAGTTAGAAAGAAACTGAAAATTTCAGCTCAAATTGATGAGCCATTCTGAAGATATAGACGTTGCAAGTATAGGTCGGTGCTCAGCTACATGCCGAATATCGTGTAGTGCAATACTTTTCAGTATAGTTTTATTTTTTGAAGAATAACAAGTGTTATACAAGAGATTTTTTTCTTGATAGATGCTATCGATCGTGGGCTATTTTTTTATGATATTCAAAGAACCTTTTCATGAGATACTCTTTGGTTCGTGTCATATGCCATTTCTAGAAAGCATGTCCATATAAGTAAAGCAAGTTGATCGAATTAGCGTGGTGGGTTAGCTTGAGAGCAGTCTCATTTCTACTAAGATCAAAGGCAGCAAATTTACCAAACGATTCCAACTAATTGAAATTAATAATTTGTTCTCAGATGTTCAATTCATGTGACTTAAATGAAATCTCGTGTTAAGGATTCTCAAAATCCAAAATATCAACTCGTTTAGATTTATTTGTTGAAAATGGCAAAAGGTTTATGTCATCGAATTTTATTGCATAGTATTCAATTCACCAAGTTTTTCACGTGCCTATATTTTAGTGAACGATAAAAACCAAAAGATCTGAAATTTTCACTGTACACTATTCTCATTGTGACCTTTGTATATGCAAAACTTCAAGACAAAATTCGTTTTTTTTTAAAAGTATCTGAGAAAACCTACGGCAACATCCCAAAAACAATTCTTGGAAAGTCGATATGTTCATATACATGATTAGATCAACATGACATTTCTCTTACTTTATTCATAAAAAGAGAAAATTTGAACCGATCAATGCCATTAAAAGATAAGGAAATATTTTTCGATAGTCATTATTATCCATATTTATTCCTGGACATAAAAATATTGAGTTTCACTCCGACAATTTTTACTTTATTTTACATCACACAAATAATGTAGAGATCGTCTATGATTTACATATGGCTTGACTGAAGAACTATTATACTAAACACAATTCGATAATGTACGTTTTGGTGATTCTACTTCTTTATAAAGATAGAAATTTTTGATTTGAATTGATGAATAGATTTTGCTATGCATGAAATAAATTCTTTGTATTCAAGCTGAAACAAATCTTTATTTTGACTACAATGTCGTTCCAATAATAGATGTACATTATGCTTATAGTATTTTGAATTAAGAAACACTATTGTCCATGACAATGAATAAAGGCTGAAAAACTTCGGAGAATGGTGGAAAGTTGGAAACGAGGAGCCGATATCTGAATTTTTCTAACTACGGTCGGAAATGATCATACACAGACAGCATGATCATCGAATTCAAATTCATTGATCTAAATAATAAAAAAGTATCTTAAAATATGTTTTTGTTTCGTATTGATATTGGATTTTGTTATATAGTTTCCTTTTTCGAAATGTTATTTAATCGACATTTTAATATATATATTTGAAATGTCAAGTAAAAATCAACACACAATATTATCTAAACAGATGGTATTGTTTTTTTTTTATTTTATAATTCAACAAAAAGGGTGAACAATAAAATTCAATATGTGCAATCAAAACAAACGAAAAATAGATTTGTGGTACTGTTATATAAGTTTTTTGCTGGACTACTAATCTAGTCACTCAGTTATATCAATAAACAACAAGTAATAATCATTTGGAATATCAGATCATTAGGACAAATGGAAACAGAAGGTCAATGGATTCGAGAATTTTAGTTTGTCTAAATAGTTAATTATAAATAATATCATTACATATAATAATCAATTCTTACGGAGTTTCTGTTTTTGAATCTTTTATCTAAAGATCTTAATTGTTCAAACATAATAAAGAAAACAATATTCCAAGGGCCTAATCGAAGCCAAGAAGGAATGAAACCTTTGTATAATGCAAGAAAACCTTCATTTCGAGTAGTCTAAATAGAATTACAATTTAATAAAATGATTAACATTCATAGGAATAAAAAAAAAATGAAATCTTACTTTGATAAAGCAATCTATAATGCCGTTATAAGGTTTTGAAGATAATGGTAACTTACCATGTGATTGTAAATTCTCTTGATTCATTAAACGAGTCTTTGAAAGAAAAAAGAATAGAAAACAATCAATTGTACTAATAATATATCATAAATTACTCGTATAACATCAATTGGTGTACTAGCTAAAGCACCAGCAAAGCCAGCAATGAAAGACGATAGAAAATGAGTTCCAATTGTATCTGAACTATTAAATCGAAATATTAATTGTTGTTTCACGGAATCATACAAAGCTAATTCAACACCACTAACAATAGCTGCTCGTTGAGCTGTAGGTAAAACACCCTTTATTAAAGAAAAAAAATTTCAAAAAAATAAAATAAAATAAAAGAGTACTATATAAATTATTTGACTTACACTCCAAAGACCTCGAATACCTTCTTTTTTTGCTATCGATATCATGGCAGAAAATAATCGTTTTCCTTGAACACTTGGATGATTAGCTTGCATACGAATCTAAATTTAATAGTTAATCATAAATATACTTATAATTATCTTACTTTTAATAAATCAGTAGGATTAGCTAAAGCATTAGCAAATGCACCAGCAAACATACCATTCAAAACATTGATATAGAGTTTTTCTTCTATAAAATAAGTATATAATGATAATAAAATAATTTTGTTCAAAATACAAACGACGAATATCATCTGCAAAAGTACGTTTCAGTTTTTGATATATACCAATTTTTATAGTTCCATAAGTTGCTTGACGTAATAAGGCTGCTGAAACGCTAAAAAGAAAAAAACAAAAAAGATGAAAATTATCATGTTAAAACAAATAACACGAAAAACAAATGAACGAAGGAATCTTCCTAAGTGGTCTGTTTCGTTTGCCCCCATATTCTACCAACATACAGGCGGTTACTAAAATAGCATAATCTCCAAAGGTTTTCTATTCATGCTTAGATTTGCTCGAGATAGAGACTTTTCGGTTGATTCCTCCTGCAAGAGTTATATCCGAAAATGTTGATCTGAAACTTTATATACATGAAGGTCTCAATTAAACTATCTCATGTATAAAGTTTCATCAGTTTTGGATATAGCATTGCTCATATATAGATTTCTCAATATATCTATTCTCTTCTGCAAGACCTGTGTCTCTCCTCCAAAATCAATTTTAGATACAGCGCATAGGATTTTCATGAGACTTTCTGAGGATATTCGACTAATGAAAGTGCACTATTAAAAAAAGTTTCATGACTGCAAACTTTACCATTGAGGAGCCATAGTACGAAATAGGGCTTTCATTTGTACAAATGTTTTCCCAATAGACTTCAGGCTATAGCGTTCGAGCTACTCTCGTTTCACAGAGAGTTCTTTACCTCTTCGGATGGGGAGAAAGATTTTTTCATTTCATTTTTGAGATCTTCAAAATCTTAGTTAATATTTTTCTAGAAAATGCATGATTTTTGTGATATTGAGGGTCGAATACAAAATCCGTTTTCCTCATCCGAATGAGAATGTGTCTATCTATCGAAAATAAAAATTGCAGTTAGTTAGAACGAATTTATGCAAAAACCAATTTTGAGAATCTTTTTTGTATGTTTATCTGAAGAACTTTCTGATATGACCATCAAATATAATGAAAAATTCATCTAGAATCTTATCGAATGACCTTCTAGCTACACATTGGCGTCGTAATTTCAATAGCGCTTATAATTTTCTTATGAATATGGTATTGATCTTTTCGCTGGGGAGTTCTAAAAACTTATCATGATTTCTGAAGAAATCTTTTAAAATTGAAAATTGTCCTTATGAATTTTCAAACTAGACACCTTATGAATTATGCCTATATGTTATCGTACAATGTGTTTATCTTGGCAATGCTATATCCAAAATTGGTGAAACTATAGATGAGATAGTCTAATGGAGATCTTCATGTGTACAAAGTTTCAGGTCAATATTTTCAAAGATAGTTTTCTTCGAAAACTGGGCCTCTGTTGACGAGATCTACTGAAAAGTCGCTATCTCGACTAAATCTGAGTATGAGTCGAAAATTCTTGGAAACTATGCTATTCTAGTGATCTACTCCGTATCGGTAAAATATGAGGGCAAATGGGCCGGATCACTTGGGAATATTCCTTTGTAAGTGAATAATTGCTTACCCATAATATAGCCTTCGCACTCCTTCTTCTCGACCAATGCTAAAATAGATAAACGAGATTAAGATGCATTTCTTTGATAATATTTATTTCTTTTTTTTATGAAACAATTACCGATAAGCTGCATG